GGGAAAGAGGCAGAACTGGCAGGAACCATCCCTTACAGTTTAGATTAGAACAACGACTCGGGGATACTTCCTGATTGTTTTCTTTTCCTTTAGAAAATCAGGCGATGGCTGATTTATCCCCAAACACAGCAGGTGTAGTGTAAGCATCTTGCTGATACAGAAGGGGATTTTAGGCCAGAGACTCTGGGGATGGGTGAAGAAATAACAACCTGAAAATGCACACTTGATCTAAATGCTTCCTGTTTATTGTCTGATTGTTCCTCTAGGTACCCCACATCAGAGAGACAGACCCTTCAACGAGCCTGAGCCAAAGCACCATATCCTTTGCTAGAGATGTCCAAAGGGGGTCCCAGTGTAGTACCTGTAGCACTGTATTCATGGTATTTCTGCAAACTATTGCAGCCTCTGACCTTCCCAGCTTTGAGCACTAGAGATACACATGGAGTTGTTCCTGGAGCAGAGTACTTTGGGGCTCTTATATTATTCTACATATTTAGTCTTCCATGTGCATTAAAGTCCATCACAGCATTGAAGCCTTCGGACAGCTGATTTGAATGATTTTTTTTGGGGGGGGGGAGGGAGGGGGTAAAGGGGCATGCAATAGAGTATATAGTAAAACATCCGTTATACTGGAGACTGTTAACAGCAAACAATAATTAAAGATGGGAAGAACAGGGAGTAAGAAAGACACAGAAGAAAGCAAAACAGAGAGCCAGTCTCCATGCACACAAACCGCTAAAAGGCACTTACCAAACTGAACTGAATTGATTTAACTGGACGGGTGTTCGTACCTTTAACAGATAAGGGCATGCAGGCAGTTGGCCGTGTCCGTATCAGTGTGTCCGTATGAGTATTAAAAAGTAAAATGAGATCTGCCATGGGAAGGCACTGAACCATTGCAATATCGCAGCTCGGGAGCTAGCTAGCGCTGGGGAACTCACAGCATCCGAGCGCCTTCTTCCCAGGGACAGCTCTCAGCTCTCCAGCGCAGCGAGCCAGGACTTGCCTTGCTTTCCCCAAGCTAAAGGCATGAAACACTAAATCAGTATTAGGAACTCGCTAATTTTCTGTTTGTCTTCTTTCCCTGCGTGGTGGCTGGTTGTTTCCGAGCCCTTTAAATGTTACAGCCTGAATGATTCAAGACAGGCTATCCTGATGGAAATGAAATGTGATGTAGGCTGGGAGGAGGCGAGAGTCTAATTTTCAAAGCCAAACTGATCCCATGCTCGTTCCGACGTGGTGAAATGGAAAATTAAATCTAATGCTTTATTAAGGATACAAACAGGGTCTGAAAGAACACCCCGCCAGGCACATGGCCGCGGGGGAAGCATTTTTATAGGAACATGCAAAAGGGTTTGTGTATCATTAAGCCCTGCAAATTGCAGACGTCTTTTTTGGCGTCTAGGAATCTCTGGAACTTGGTGATGTTTGCAAACACTCTGGGTTCCTGGGCGAGGCATTCAGTCCAGAAGTGGGCTGCTCGGAAGTGTTTCAAAACAACCCCTAAATATATTTACTGAGCCACTTGTGTAATCTCAGAGGCTGAACGCACCTTTCCACGATCTTTATCCAAATAGTGCAATGATGATGACTACTGAAAACTGCTGGTCACAGTGCAACATATGCTCACGATATAGCCATCCTTCTAAATGCACTTTCAGTGCACAGCAAATCAGAAGTCAGCACACTGAAGGCCCCCTCCATCTGTCACATTTATGCTGCGATTGTGTTGATCACGGAATATATAGGAAGGGTGCTACATGCGCGCTCAGTTTAAGGCACCAATGAGCCTTAAAAACGGTCCCCATAAAGTGTAGAAGCTTTGTATGACTCTGTTATATGGCACCTTCAATGTCATGTGTGGCAGGGGGTGAGAATCAGGTGATTGTCAGTCCTGGGGCCCAGACCACACTGGGGTTTGGAACAGACCCAGGACCAACAAAGAGCTGATTGTTACATCTATCAGAGGTGGTGGGGGAAGGAGAAGGGAGGGGAAGGGTGCCAGTGTCCAGGACATTAAACCCAGTGTCAGGCAGCACTGGCTATGTTGCCCAGCTCAGGGAGAAAAGACTCCTGGCAGGAGGGCAGAAGGAGCCTTTGGCTTCCTCCTCAGGGACTTTAAATGCTATGCTGGGCATCTTGGGCATAACTGACCAGTGTAGGGTTTTGGAAATTAGTCTACTGTCTGCCCTGACAGCCATTGGGAACCAGAGCTGGGACTGTCCAGGTTCTGGGACTGACAATCAGCTGATAGTTGGCCCGAGTCCCCAGACAGCCATGAGTCTCAAGCAGGTCCTAGAACTCTCTAGCAGAGCCCATATTTGCTGATTGTTGGCACCATATGTGGGTACCCCACTTTCAACCTGCTAGTGCATGGAGAGTCCAGGCTTCCTCTTCACTGGCAAGCAGCAATGGTGCTATTGGGATCTCAGCCTTGATCCCAAAATTGTGTCTCCTGCCATGCATGTGTGGCATGTCAGGAACTGTGATTATTTGGACTGAGAACCCTATCACACCTTTAAATGAAAGGGTGCAGGCTTCACTTGTACTATGCACAATTTAAAATGGCAGCCAGCTGTGGTAATAATGATTAAGTTCTTGAGACTACAACACAGTAAGACCTTTGGAAAGGCCACCGGTTTCATAATATTCTCTCTGAAGAGAGGCCAGGGGAGGGAATATTACCTGCTACATCAAGTTTCTTAGTTACTGCACAGAGAAGCACAAAACTGTCTTTACCTCAAATCTCAACTGAATGAGTGCTTTTTAGACTCTTGTGCCTGTGTCAAGCAAGGCTTAAAATCAGAAACAATAAAATGAGGGCAATAGCCAGATACAAGAACTTCAGCATTTCGGTGAAATCCTAAGAGATGACTGCAACCTTTTATTGAAGGATTTCAGCACTCCGGACAGTCCAGGGCAACTGGGCGTTCAGGACCTTGGAGAGGATCTGACTCAAGCTCTTAGCAATGGGCAGAATAGAAGGCCAGCCTAAATCTGCCACTTTGATTGATTCACTTTTAGTTACCTTAATTTTTATTTCTTTCAGGGAAACTTGTACATATCAGCCTTCCTGCATGTGAGCCTTTGGAAATGTTTAAGCGCCAGAGGCCAGAACATTTTCCATCCTGCTCCAGTAAAAGGACATGCTGGAGCCTAGGAAAACTCATTACTTGTGTAATGTTTTTATCTTACCCTTTAGACTAAGTCACAAAAATCAGCAACTAGGAAGAAGACCTACTTTTTTTTCCTATCAATGTCTGTTTATGGATGGCAGCAGGGTAGAATAGGATAACATTTAGGACTAGATTCTATTTTACCTATTATGCATCTAAGTTGTGCTTAGATAAATAAGGCCATCCAAACTCTATTACATCCCAAAAATGTCTAAGTAACACAACCACAATGTTATTGGGATAAAAGATAAGACAGATTCTCCTCTCCTTTGTCAAACATTCACTAGATGTGATTTTTCTCTTAGTAAGATTTTAGGACTTGTATGGAATTGATGTACCTTCCCAGGGTGAATGAGAGTAAGATGACTACCTAGCTATACTGGGCAATTTCCAAGTATGCATAGTTGACTGAGATTAGTTGAGCTATGTAGATTTTGATGTAAAATCTGAGTAAGTGCACTAGCTTTTATTAGACCAACTAAATAGTTGGGGAAAAGTTCTTTGCAAGCTTTTGAGCACAAAGACCCCCTTCATCAGTCATAAGGAAGCTCTGCAAGATACATTGGAGAACACATAAGATATCACATCTACCCAAAGGACCTTGCCTGCCTATGTCCTTAGACCAGCATGGCTACAACCAACAACCCTGTAATAATTGGAGAAAGGTCTGGCCTTGAGCGTGAACTCTTAATCCACCTTGCCTGAGTCCTTGAAAAAAACAGTTAATATATAGACTTTTGTAGCACACACTCATTTTAGTTTTAAGATTATAATACAAAAATGATATTGAGGAGGAGGGCCTTCCTAATTATGTTAAAATGTTGGTCATAGTTTAAGACAGGGTAGAATAGGTTCACATTTAGATGCCTAAGTATTTCTTAGGGTGATGTTACCTGTTAAATTTGCATGTGCTAACTACAGAATGTTGTATGGTATTAAAGACTGCTCACATGCTGTGAGCAGTCTAGTGAGCAGGGGCATGGGTAAGAGCTGCCAAGTCTGCCCCATGAGTGCCCATCTCTCTGGTGGCTGCCCCCTCTTCTGAAGCTCCTCTGTGGCTCTCCTATGGCTTCCCTCTCTCCCATGGCTTGTCCATGGCTCCCCCCATGGCTGCTTTCCTGTGCCTGCCTGTCTCCTCTGTGACTTCTCTGCTGCCACTGGCTCCACAGCTCCCTGTCAGTTCATCAGTTGAGGACAGTAGAGTTCAGAAGGGTAGATCATGCACAATGGGCATATCTACATGTGCATATTTACTGAGCAGTAATCAAAATTACTGCATAGTATGGACATGTGTCTACATGTTCATGCTCATCCTGCACAATAAATATGGTGACTTATGCTGACTTGAGTGTAAATTTGATACGTGTATCATTCAGGTATCAAATTTACACCCTATTAATTATTGTTCAGTAACACTCATGTAGACACCTTACTGCACAGTAATACTGTGTGTGTGGACTGACCTGGGACTAACTTTAGTCCCAAGTCAGTCCACATACAATGTTAATATGCTTTAATGCCTGTATATGTAGATGCCGGCCTATTCCTGCTTACTGCACTTAACTTACTGTGCAGTAAATTTAAGCTGGCATAAATTCACATGTAGACATGCCCAATGGGGGGTAAACTACTCATATTGGCTCTATGGAGCTGACTGATGTTATCGCAACATGAGGTGCAAAGACCAGCTGGGGATACTCCTCACCTGAAGATGTATAACTTGGAGATGCTCAAAGTTCACATGGCTCATCTTCTCCTGCCTTAATTTTGCAGATGTTTCTGTCTTAAGCACATTTAACATCTGAGATGGGTAACATATAACAATAGCTTTAGACACTTAAGAGGAGGGTAGGACCTGGCCCCATATTTCTAAAGCCTGTCTTTCTATGAAATGCTGAGATATAAGCACACAGATCAGTGCTAAGCACTGCCATACCATGTAAATTTTAAGTTGGTCTGCTAATCAAATTAACCTTTTTGTCATTAAACTCTTTACTAGTGATTCTGAAATATATATTCTGAAATGCCTGGGGGTAACTCAGATCACAGCTCCTGATCAAATGAAGGTTTTGAATGAGCAGTTATTCCAGAGGCTGGTTCTTGGCCCATAACCATTTGGAGCTCAATATATATTCATTGTTATCTTCAAGAAAAAAAATAGTTATCCTTTTGCCTAATGGATATAAAAAGATTTCTGCCTACCGCTCTCTGGCCTATATATATATTCATTTTGCCTGAAGAGAGCAAGACAATCAAATATTACACATCAGATACAATGATGGGGTTTTTTTCTGTCACCTCAGGTATTTTTAATGCTTCTGTCCTTTGAAGATTATTCTCTTTAACTTGCTAGAGAGGACTGTCTCTCTAATTTAAATATATTTCCTAATCTAAAGAACTGGCAGCTAAAAATCAGAGAGATTTTCCAATGCCCTTTACAATGTGTTTGCAATATTATCACCCACCCTGCAGAACACAGTAACCTGAGATTCACTAATATCAATACCGCTCTGCTGTCCAGGCTCCAACGTTGCTAATTACTTCACTTACTGCAAAGGTGTCAATTGAACTTTCTTGTAATGAAGTTTCAGTCAATAAAATACCTGGCTTGGTATATTTAAAAGGATACATGTCTATGTGATTGGACACAGATGGGGCATGTGTAAATCAAAACATATTTTTTCTTTATTTTAATTATCAGCATAAAGAGAAAGATGCAGTCAGAATCCAATGGGTCATAAAAGTTACAAGGCCCTCAGCTGCTTAGTGACTTCAAAGGAACAGAGTCTACTTACACTAGAAGATGTAGATGGATTTGAAGAGGTTTATAAATTTGGGGATATAATTTTCTTGTACTAGAAAACATTTTATAATTTGGCATCAGCATGCCAGAGAAATATGGCTGCCATTACCATTAGACATCAAGCTGGGTGGGTTCTCTTCTCCAAAAGTACATAGATTGCCTTCTGACTTTTTAGGCATGTGAGTACACTTACTTGCCAATGACATCCTCAGAATCACTGCTTAGCTGTTCCTTACCCAATAGGCACCTCGGTTTTTTTAATGCCCAAGTATATGCTAGTTGACATGTGCAAATCCACCTAGTACTGATGACACCCTGTAATTGAAAAGCCTCAAGGAGTTCTTTCATGCTAAAGCTCCAGAGTCTCTAAATCAAGTTTCTCAAAGATACAGGGCCAGAATCAGCAGGGCCCTGCCTTAAACAAAAATCAGACCCTGCCTAAAACAAAAAGCAGCTGGGGATATACATATGTGTATAAGTGTCTGTGTGCATGTGTGACCTACACATTAAGGAACTGTGTTTTTTGGGAGTGGATTTCTCTCCACCTTTTCAGTGAGAGATGTTCCAGTTTGTAGAGACTTCTCCCCCACACAGATGATATAGACACAGGGTTGTAGAACCAACCTCTCTGTCTGTCTGAATTAAGGTTTAATTCTTTATACAAAAAACCTTTGACAGGAGAGACAGAGGGGAAACTCCTCCAGAATAGCCCAGTCATGAAAGAAGTCACATAGGATAATTCAGAATCAAGCAGATGAAGTGTGATTTGAACCCATGTTTCCAGTGTCCCAGTCAAGTGCTCTAAAAACATGAAGTTATTCTTGGGTTTCTCATTCTCTATCTTGAAGGTTAACAGTTGAGGATCCTAGTAGAGGCTTGCCAGACAGAAATGCCCATCTCCAACCAGGCACACCAGATAAGGTGTCTAAACTCTGCACCTTCATTCTTCAGTTCATTCCTTGTTGCCATAGGTGCCTCTCTAAGCTATTCCTAAGGATCCTTTATTTAGAAGTCTACCTATTCCCAAGCACTGTATGAGGGAACTGGAGACCTAACTTGGAGCTGATGATTTCAGTAGCTGGCACTGGCAGGGCACCTACAGGTTTTTTATTGCAGTGGAAATATACTAAACTAAAGTTAGCTTTCATCTTTAGGATCTGCTATACATGCTAATTTAGGGAAAACAATCATTACAAAGAGAAGGGAGGCTTAGAGTTGTGTATGTGTAGTTCAATGAGAACAAAAAGGCATTAAAAAGGAGAGAATAAATCTAAAGGACCTCATACAACTTATCTGCCCACACTACCTTGCCTTTTTTCAAGACCTAGCCCTACCCAGACCCTGCCCTACCCATTTCTCTAAATTCCCACATTTTGGTGACATTACCAGAACTATTTCCCCATGACCATCTTTCTCATCCTTTCAAATATCCATTCCTGGGTCCAAGTAAAACAATGAAGATGGTAATATCAAATCACTCTACATGTTGTAATTGGGTTATTGCAGCACAGTATTTAAGGAGTCTTGCTATGGCATGGATTCAAGTTCTGCACTGGGCTCATGTGAAAGCTTATATCAGTTAAGCCATAAGTATATGGGTACCCCCAGTCATTTGAGGTGTGGAGTTAAAAGTGGTTGCATATGAAGCTAATCACATCATCCTCTTGTGTGCCAGTGAATATAGAAATGGGTGTGTCTTAACCATGCTATCCTATGGACCATTTGTCTTGGACACTTTTGAATAGACTTTTGTGGCAGTTCATAAGTAGAAGTTAAAGTTTTCATATTCAATGAGGACTTTAGTGGATTAATCAGATTTGTAATGATTCAGTTACATATTCTTGTTTGCAAGTTTTCTTAAAATGTCCTCATCTCAGTAAGAACGTACAAAATCCAACTCTTAGACCCTAATTTATCAAAGAACTTAAGGACATACTTCACTTGAAGCACACACTTAAATCAGTCCACATTCAGTAAAGCATTTAAATGGGGGTAATGGGATTTAACCATGTGCACAAATCCTTTGCCAAATGAAAGCTTAATAGCACTGATTTTCATTTAGAACAACAGTAATGCAATTATTATTGATTTCTGGTAGTGCACAAAGACACCAATCTGGATCAGGGTGTCATTGTATCTGGAGCTGTACAAAAACATAAAATGACCTGGTCCCCCAAATGCTCACAAACTAAGGATCATATTCTGGCACCCTTATCATGCTGAGTAATTCCTTACTTGGGACCTGATTACATCTCTATTGCAGCTAGAGGAAATCTTTCCTAGATCACAAAGGACTTTGGATCACACTCTTGGTGAGCAGTTCCAGTGAAATCATTTGAACTACGTGACAAATTAGATCTTACTTATCAAGAATATGGCTGGCCTGAAGTAACAGTCTACAGTCTAATTTGCCTTGTTCTAATACACTCATAACAATATTGGAAGACTTAATAGTGGATATCCATCTTTTACTTCCACCTTCTCCAACTCTTTGTAATCTTGGGAGAGGGTTATGTTGATGGGAACAGGTCTCTCTTTTTATTTTGGTTCTATATTTACTGAATCAACTTACAGTTCTCACTTCCTTTTCTTCAGAGCCACTGAGTCTCTCTAAACCCATTTGATTTTCCCCAGCCTTACTACTGCCTCCTACTTAGAACTAATATATGTTCTGACTCACCTTAGTCTTCTACCCTGCCATCCATCCTTTCTCCCTTTAATTTTCAAACACCATTACCACCAATGACTGGGCACTAAATGCCGACTTTTGCTTTCTTTCTCTACTGCATCTCTATGTCATTTCTCTGTTAGCTGTCTGAACTTCTTTTAAAGAAAGCTCTCATAATTAATTAAAAGAATCACTTTTTGATACTTTGTTTAAAATGATGTGATGGTAGAGTAGAGGAGGTGTCTGTCTACAGGTCAGAAGGCGTCAGATTAAACCTCACTCTGGACTTGTGCTGAAAGCCATCATTAGTCAGCCCAACTACAAATGAGTACCTCGTGACTTCGGTAGAGAGACAGAGGTGCCCTGTCATGATGCTAACCAGATCATTGTGGCCATCATTGACTATGGAAACTGACCTTGTTTAACCCTGGGACTATTGATTCTTATCTCATTACCTCCATTAACTTTTGTGACCCCTTTTTTCCGATGAGTTCTTTGCTTGTATGCCTTTCACAACACCGCCCCCCCTTCATTTCTTCCCCTCCCTCCTTCTTTCTTACCTGTTGTATTCTGATCACTCACTTCACTTTATGCTCGTCTATATGCTGCCCTTTCACAGCATTTGATGAAGTGAAATCTCATGCTCTCTCTGTATATATCATTTTGTTAGTCTATAAAGGTACATATCTACCCTGCCTTCTGACTGCCTAACCAGCAGTTCTCAAACTGTGGGTCACAACTCCAAATGTGGTCACAACATCAGTGGATGCGGTTATGATAAACAGGGATCTGGGGGGCACAGGAGACATGTTGGAGGGGCAAGATGGGTCCCACAGGTCATGTGGTGGGAGGGGGGTGGGAGAGCAGAAGCGATGTGGCAGTGGTGGGGAGCAGGGAGGCAAGGTGATGCAGCAGAGGGGGCATGTTCTCCCCCCAAGATTTCTATGCCCACAGTGAGGAGTGGGGCTGCAGTTGGGCTGGACCAGTTCCGGGCAGGAGCCATCGCTGTGGCCAAGTGAGCAGGACCTGGCATGGGTGGGAGCACCATGCCACCCTGGCTGCCAAGGTGAGGTGCAGCAGTGGTTGCACGGAGTTGTGCCCCTGCTGCTACCAGGCAGGCAGGGTGCACCTCAGTTTGGTGGTCATGGCAGTGTGGTGCTCCCTCCCATACTGGGTTCCTCCGTCTGGGCCAGGAAGCCCCAGTGGGGAGGGCAGCAGGGTGGGAAGCCCCAAGCCTGCAGTGGGCAGGCCATATCCTCCACTCTCCCCACCTCCCCACAGGTGGCCCAGCCACCTGTGGGGGAGGGGATGGGGGAGCTGGGCTCCATGCTCTGCTCCATCTGCAGCAGCTGCTGCCTCCCATGCCATGGGCAGCAGCCGGGGCTCAGATGCTGCTGGGGGTTGGGGGGGGGCATGGGGCTATGAGCCCTGCCCCTGGGGCACCTAGGAGGGTGAGGGGCTGTGGGTTGGGAGTGAGGGGCACTGGCAGTGTTAGGGAGCTGTGGGTGGGGAGTGAGGGGCCCCCCGCAAAGGGCTGTGAGGTGGGATCAAGGGGCCATGCTGAGGAAATGGGGTCATGAATGGAGTCATGCTAAGGAAAGTTTGGGAAACACTGGCCTAAACCATGCTAGCCTGATATCTAGGGTCAGGCAGACCATGACTGGCTTAAGAGCTGGACTGTACTGACAGTCTTAATGAGGGAGGAAGGAAAAACCAACTACTGCCATATTTTCTAGTATCTACTTCTTTATTCTCAAATCCTTCCTTTCTTCAATTTTGGAAATAGCAGAGTCTCTTATATGTCTTTTTAGAAGTCCATAAGCCTGCCTTCATTATCATAATTACAAAAATATTGTAAAGTAATCCAAAGAGATGTGATAGATATTCTGATGTAGTATCATTACTGAAAATCCAGTCATTGTTTCTGTAGCAAGCCCAAATTTTGTTCACTAAATATGCAAGAGACAAGGATTTTTGCAGGAGGGATCTTTTATTGCAACAACTGTAACATCACAATAATAAACCAAACTTTGCTTCCCCATGACTATTTTGTGTAATTGGGTTACAATAAAAATGAAGTAATGATAGTTTAAAAAAAAAAGAGATTGCTGATGCAAGTAGCCCTTTCAGGCATAGGATATGCGCAGCCTCTCTGACATTATTTAGATATGCTGCCTTCGAGAGTTACCTGAACTGTACAGTTCCCTGCAGCAATACATCAACTGAATTACTTTACAAGGAAAGAGGTAGATTCCCTTGAGTTGATGTGACAATAGCTTAGTAGCTCCAGATTGTCTTACATCAAGTGGAGCAGCCTTTCTAATATGCCTTTTAGAGTATAAGGAGGAAAAAGTAAGATCCCAACTGAAATTTTAAATTTCTGCAATGATGACAGTGCTAATTATTAATAGGCATAAATCAGATGTAGCCAGAGTTCAGGCAACAGGACACATGAGGCTCGTTGCATTCCACAAAATGTCTTGCAAGCACATTTTGTCTTTAATGTTGCTGTGTTACCTGTTCAGATTAGAAATCCCAGCATGGTGTAATCCTGCATAGAAATGGAGGATTGGGATTTGTAGTCTCCCTTCTGCAATAAAGATGATGATAGATGCAATCTACTTCTTTGTCTATGGCCCATAACACTTATGGTAAGTTGCCAATTTAGTCTATGGCTAGGTCAGGTTTGTGTCTCTTTTCATCTGGTCAAAATTTCTGCTGCTGATAATTCAGTCTTTCAAGTCTCATAGGCTAAGTACAGGCATTCAAGAGGGCCAAGGCAGAAGTCCTCTAACTTTTGAACTTTACTCTAAGCATCCAAGGTTAGGTTAGGAGCAAGCAGAACAAGCAAAGCCTGTCTGCACAGCCTGAGCATGGCAGGTAGGGGGAGCTCTCATGTTTCCCAGCATGCCTTGTGGGTTCCTCAGGCTGCTGAAGACTCCCAGGCAGAGCCAAATGCCTGAGCCACCCCTGACTGGCTGGTGAGGACATCACAGCTGCCCACCTGGACCTGATGTAGCAGTGGCTTGTCATGGCCATGAGCCATCAGCTGGCTGTTCCCTGCATGCTTACACAGTGTACCTGTGCCCACCAACTCTGTGTGTGTGTGTGTGTGCATGCATGTGTGTGTTCAGTCTTCCACGTGGACAATCATCAAGCCAAGAACACCTGAAATTCAGAGTAGGCAACCACATCCTTCCCTATGAGCATACCTCAGGCTACCAAGGAGTCACATTAGACCATTCCCTCACCTATAAGCATCACAATCAGAAGGCCAGCAGTAACATCTCTCCATGGGAAGCTACCTTAAGATGTTTAGCCAGCACAACATGGGGTGTTACCTTTAAAGTGCTCAGAACTACCGCACTTGCAATTGTATATGTCCCAGCAGATTACTATGCTCCTGTATGGTCTAGAAGTTGTTGCACAAAAAAGCTCAACACCATACTTAACAGCAAACAGAGACTCACAACAGAATGCACAATTTACACATATATGTATTCTTTGCACACTAGGGCATTAGACCAATTTACATAAGAAAATAGACCCTAACCACTCCCCTGCTGCCAGGTTTCTGGGCTTGCGGAAAGCCCGGCAGGCCAGGTACTGCGGCCTTGTGTATTGCACTAGATTTAGAGAAGGGGTAGGGTAAATGGAAATGAAATTGCTGTTCAGACTAATTTGGCCTGAAATCTATTCCTACAGCATTTTATACCAACATTGAACAAGTTCCCCATTGGGCATGACCTTGACAAGGAAGCATGGGTCAAGATGAACAGACTGAGATATGGACGCTTCAAAACAACATTGTACAAGATGAACATCTTCACAGCCCCCTGCATGAATGTGATATTCAGCAAACAGCACAACACTTAATTCAAAGCTGCAATCTTTACAAATGCCCAGATGGGGTAGATGGAATGAATCCACACATGGAGTGATAATATCAGACAGTGGCTCATAGCTGGCCGGAAAGAACAAGGTGGGGGTGGGGTTTGGAAACATGGGCTTCACCACCTTGGGTCATTGAGAGCTTAGGCAAAGGCCAGCCTGGCACTTGGGCAGAGGAGATGAGCTCTGGCTTAGGTTAGACTGCCGCCCTGTGAGTGGGGGGTGAGTGGGGTACTGCAATGTTCCATGGGATATCAGAGGAATGTGACCTCCCATGAGTTGCAATGGAACAGATGTGGTACAGATGTTTGTTACGGCACTCTAACCTACAATGCTGAAATAGGATACCATATCCATCCAGGGTTATCCCAGAGTGGAATCTGCCATTTTTACAGTGCTCTGTGTGCCCTGCCTGTTTGGTTATGGCTGTGGAGTGCTTTCTGTGTGTTTACCATGCAATAAGTGTAACTTCTGCACCTGGCATATCATTTGATAGAGATTTACTTTCTGGACTAAGAACAATTCATTCTTGTATGTTTACTATAGACAGGTGATGATGAAATGGAACACGGTCCAATCGTATCATGAAGGCTGTGTAATGATAAAATGCCTTTTTCATTACAAATGAAATAATAATTCCTGCACTACTGCCAAACATACTTTGAAATAAATTTAGTTCTGTTTATTGTGAGGCACTGGGAATATTCAGATGTCTCTGCTTTTCAACCCTTTGGAAAAAGTCACTTTGTCGTGCAAAACTTCATAAATTATGAAGCCTGCTAATATTCTGTTCTTGATTTTCTTCTTCAGGGAGCCACCTGATTTAGCCCCATGAACTGCATAGCTCTGTGTATTATTCCAATTGATTGTATCTATTTAATTTTGCATGACTGCCTTTGAAATATTATAGCTACCATTAACTCAGAATTTGCACACAGCAACTGACCCAAGGAAAAGGCCTGCCCTTCCTGAACCACCCGGGGGATATTTTTACATTTTTATTTTGTTTTACATTAAAGACTGACATAAGAGCTGTGTAAATTGATTGGATTTATAAAAGTCATACATTGATATTCCCTGAATGCTTACTCTGGTGGTTAAGGCATCCATTCACAAAAGTAACTGATTGAATGCTTAATTTCAATCATGCATTTACATACTTAAAATTAATAGATGCTTATGGAATAGGGATGTTGTCTTGAACTGGACATTAATTCATATTAGCACAAGGCTGTATGTCAAGATTCCTGGGTTCATGACCTGGATCTGTCACTCAGGGGAGCCATTTAAGCTCAATTTTCAGAACCGTCTTCTAATTTTGGATGAACAAGCTTATGTGTTCCCAGTTTAAGGCACTCAAGGGCTGCTTTTCATACCCATTATGCACTTATTGTTTAGTTGTTATCAAGGGGATCTACACATAATAACTCCTACTGGAAACAAAGACCTGAGCACTTTAGAGAATGGAAGTCTAAAACTTTAGCAGTCCTGATATTCTTATCTGCAGAATTATTGCTAAGTTACCTCTTCAGGGGTGTATTATGAGGCTTAATGTATGTTCAGCAGTTATTTATATAGAAAAGTTGCTAATGCATATTAGGATTACGTATCAACAGCAGAATCCATCCACACTTACCCTTCATTTAAGATGCTGTTTTTTATTTTCTCTACTTTCACTACTTAAGTCACCAAATCAGCCAAGCTTAACTTAATTTTTAGCATTTGTTGAAGTGCTCTGGTGAATAGGGATGCAGGTACTCATTTATGTGAAACTACACACCTGTGTAGGTAGTCTTTTGCAAGCCATATAACCGTATTGTAGCAGTAACTGGAAACAGGAGTGAAGTATTTTTTCTTATTTTTATAGTATCAGAAGCTACGTATTGGAAATTTTCCATACTTCTTCTCAAGGTACATTTTAATGCAAGCCTTCACTTCAGTAAGATATTCCTGAACTTCACCATATTCACAAACTTTATATTTTCTTCAAACCTTCATTGCTGACAGACATCCAACTTTTAATACGCATTGAGTGAGAGTAGTTGAAAAGAAACTGACAAGCTCCCTATCAATAAGTAATACACCTGAGAAAAGAGGCCCAATTACCAATTCCAGGTTATTATACAAGCTGTTATCTTAACTGTACCTAAAGAAAAAACATCAGCAGTCCAAAGCCAAAATCTGTTTGCTTCCAGATAATCTGTCTAATAGGGAGAAGGAGGATCCTGCTGAGGAGGAAAGAATGGAAATAATCTTCTGAATATTTTACACTGATCATATTAAATTATTCTTTAGGACTTCAAAGTAAATACATTTAAGACTAGATCCACAAAGGGGACTTAGACTCAGTGTTGTAATACCTAATGCCTCACCCCCTAATGAAATCCACAGCCTTGAATTAGGCATGTTGCCTCTCCATACACTGCATGGAGGGGTTAAATGCATGAAGCAGTGTTGAAGTTGAAATGGTTTTGCCACGCTTGTATTGTTCCTGCCTCTCCATGCATAAGAGTTGGAATGTACCAGCTGATGCCCTTTTGAAATGCTCCCCTCTTGATATAGCTCCAAATTTGCATGTATCCAGACTGTAAGAATTTGAGCCATAAAAACCAGCTATATGATCTGGGCCTGCCTAAACTAGTGAATACTGAACACAAGGTTCTGAGATATTCTGGGGAGATACTTCCCCCCTTGCTGAGACCCACAGCCCTGATCATTCATCTGGAGTTAGGAGTTTAAGTATTTTCCTTGAGAAAGAAGTAATCCTTGGAACGGGGGCTTCAACCCAGGTCTCCAATCTTGTGTTCTCTTTCTTTCTTTCTGTCTGGCCCATTGAATCTTTAAATATTCTATAAGGATTGGAACAGTCTCATCAGGCAGGACTGAGAATGAAAAGTATGCATAAGGAGGAAGAATATGAGAAGATTAAAAAAAAGACAGGTCTTTTTCTGTCATAGATCTCAAAACACATTAAATATGTAAATATCACATAATTTTACAGGTTGAGAAACTGAGGTAGACAAAATGGCAGAACCAGCACTAGAACCCAGGCGTCTTAACTACTAGTCCATTGGACCACAAAGACTTTGTGGAAGATAAATATTTTTCCTTAACAAATTAGCCTAATACTACAGAGTTGCATGGATGCCTTGATGAATGCATAGATTGTCTGGAATCATTATTATAGAATGAAAAATCATTATCTTTATTTAATTGCTCCAATAATTCAGTCACTACATTCCAAGAAAGAAAATATCAAGAATTGTTTCCTTTTATTAGCATTTATTGCCAGAAGAAATTGAAAGTTCATTAACTTAAGCTAAGTGTTTACTACAAGTCTATTTACATCTTTACTTGTGGAGGGGTCAAACCACAGTTGTCATCTATTGAGCTATTTCAATTTCAAGGTCAGAAATAGAGAGAGAGACTGATAAAACACACTGCTATTCTGAACCCCACACTTCTACTGCTTTGAACAAAGAACATATGGGATCTTGTCTGTCTGATCTATTTTTGTTTGTAGCTGAAAACTCATTATGCCTTCCCCCCTCCCAATACAAGATCTGCTCTTCTTGCCCCAAAGTATACATTTGGAATTTTTCTTTTATAAGTATTCGTGCTTAGTGTTTTGTCTCAGCACCATTCACCTTACTCCTTGACTGCTTCCCAGGTTAATTAGATCAACATAGGGAGTTCACTAATGCAATTCATGGAGCCTAGGGCTGCTCTTTTCTCTGGCTTTAGGAAGACCTGTGCATTTTTTTCTCCTGAAATCCATGTATCCATCATTACAGCATTTTTAATCTTTAAAGAACTGTGCAAAAACTAATTCATTCTCCCTGGGTGTATCTACACATGCACTTTATTGTGCAGTAGACTAATTTACTGCACAGTAAAGTGTCACCATCTACATGTGCATAGCCATTAGGGCACAACAGACTATTGCTGCACTGCTGGGTAGTCCTGTCAGAAACAGGTACTGTCAGACAGCACAGTAAATTACTGAGCTTAAGCACATGTGTAGACACCATGCCTGGGAGTGGTTTACTGCACAGAAATTTGCTGCACAGTATATTCTGTTGTATTAATTGTATGTGTAGATACACCCCCTGTGAGTTAAAGACCTGCATGTTAGTATTATAATTCCCAGTTTAAAGATGGGGAAACAAACAAAGAAGAGGTAAGTAATTATAGCTCTTCATTCTAGTCCATTAGACTGCATTTCCTCTCAAGATACCTGAGCACATAATGATACCTGCACTAATGTCCACATTCAATAGGCAACCTTCTGCCTTAACTTACCACTTCAATTTTTTTCTAACGTGTCCAATACAGTTTTGTGTAGCCTTTAATTAAAGTCATCTCTACTAGGCAACCAATGCATCCTCTTGGTTTCAGCTGTAAGGCAATTTAATAAACAAAACACCCAGTAACTGCTGAACTACACTTGAGCACTATTCTCAGATTTACCATTCACAGAAACTAATAATTCTGGGAATGACATCACAATTGAAACCAATGACTGCATTCAACGATAAAGCGTCTTCCTGAGACAAATGTTTCTATGCATGTCTTTGGGGAACAGAGGCAGTACTGTTCTCCAAGCCCCAACAGAGAAAGCCTATTTATGAATATAGTCAAACTATCCTGACTGTACTTCCTGTCAAATAATTACTGTTTACCTCCCTGAGTTACATCCACTTTAATAGATGGTATCATTACAATGGTTCCCTCTTGTACACCATGAAAGACAGTGAGAAACAATCACCCGCTGTTTTCATTAGGATCAGCTTGGCTCTGAGATAGCAGCAGCAGCAGAGCTATTGTTATGTTCTCAGCTAGATCTATTTATATGCTATGACATGGAACAGTCTTTGCTGTCTTGACTTACCTATTCTCAAAATAAATGGTCTGTAGTTAAGATTAATACTATACATAATTAATACTAATTATCATAATAATACTGACCAAGTTACTAGGTTTAATTTCAATAGTAAAGCACCTCTAACCCTTGGGAATGAGGAAGGAAATGACCTACAAATCTCAAGTGTCTAATATTGTTCTTGTAAGCCTGCAGCTATTGTATATTGACTAAACAGGTAAATACATTATATTGACTCAAAGCAGATAATTATAAAAAATAGAATCAGCATTCTATTTCATCAGAGTATTTCCCAGCCGTATTGAAACCTTCAGTGCCATAAGCAGGGCATAGAGCGGAATCCCTTGCAACATATGCATACATTCTCCTACTTATCCTGATTATTTTTACTATTGATTTGTGTTGTGGTAAAGCCTTGGATCATCAGTTAGGGATCTGGTAACTGGTGCTAGATGCAGTACAAATGCAGGATAAGGCAATAAGCCTTGTCTTAAACAGTTTAAAATAAACTATGATTCAATCTATTTTATTTTAGTTTCAAAGGAGGTTCTGTTCCTTGTTGAAGAAAAGGTTCATCCTTCAGTGGCGAAAATGCAAGTCAGTAATAATTATTAACCAGTAATATCATCTTCTTTATTTTGATTTTACCTAAAATAATAAATACAAACACTTAGCAAAATCATTAATATGTACACATTATTATCTGTGCAACTGTTTAGTCTTATTGCAATAACCTCTGAGATGTCTTCTTCTGTCCCCATGTTACAGTTCATCAGCCTCCCATTCATTACATTAGGCTTGACATGCAA